GGGCTCAGACCCCAAGAGGAGGAGCACAGGGAGTTACATAACAACGGGCAGATGGTACAGGATGAGGGGGGTACCACATGCGTATTTTGAAGGCCGCTTCTTGGATATAATGCTCAACCCACAGATTTCCATGCACATATACTGTTTCATCCCTGGCTCCCTCAAAGCAGCATGTGGCATAAGGGCACACTGGTGAAGATAGGTTAGGGGACAGGTGGGCTTGTGGTATCCTGCATTCACACTCCAATGTTACAGGCCACCTGTTACCCACAGGCTTCCTGGACCCTGAGTAGCAATTACAGGTCATCTTCTGATGAGTGTGGCTGCATCCATGCCTCTGTTTCCAGAGGAAGTTATTGGCAGGTAAGGTTGAAGCTGGGCATGGTGGCTCATGCCTGTAATCCCAGCACTTTGGGAGGCAGAGGCGGGCAGATCACTTGAGCCCAGGAGTTCAAAACTTGCCTGAGCAACATGGCAAAACCCTCTCTACAAAAAAATAAATACATAAAAATAAAAATCGGTTGGGCATGATGGTTGGCACCTGTAGTCCCAGCTACTCAGGAGGCTGAGGAGGGAGGATCCCCTGAGCCCAGGAGGTCTAGGCTGCAGTGAGCTGTAATTGTGCCACTGCACTCCAGCCTGGGTGACAGAGTGAGACTGTTTAATAACAACAACAAAACCCTCACAAAGGTGAGTTACTCCCTGCACTTCTGGATACTGCAGAGAATGACCCCGGGTCCACAGAAAGGTGGGGTTGGGCTAAATACTGTCCAGTAGTAGTTGAAAGCATGATGGGCTGGGTTTGAAAACTGATAGGCTTACCACTTACCAGCTGTGTGACCTTGGGCTAGTGACTTAAGTTCTCTAGGCTTCGATTTCCTGCTCCGAGAAGTGGAAATGATAATGGTACCTCTCTCAAAGGATTATTGTGAAGATTAAATGAGATCATGTGTGTAAAGTACTTAGCAGGGTATCTGGCATATGGCAAGTGTTCACACACAGTTGTTTTTGTCTATTTAAGGGCAAGAATCAATTTTTCTGTGTTATGAAAGGCTCTCAACATAGTACAGATGCAGATTCCTTTTAGCCAAAGCCTTGAACATGAGAATGAGGAATCAATAGCGAGAGGGAAGGACATCACAGACAGAGGGCAGGGAAAGCTAAATCTGAGCTCATTCCTAAGTGGTAGGTAAAAAACTGTAGCTGAAAACATCGCATGAACACCAGAACATGTCCCTGTTATGCTGGGGTGTGGCACAAACCAAGGACTTGGTGCGTGGATGCATGGGCCTGTGTGGCAGTCACTAGTAATGCTCATTTGAAACAAGCAGTTCTGTACCTGCAAGAAGGCAGGCTTCATCATTTCCACTTTACAATGGCTTCCAGGTCAGGACGTTGAACCCAAGAAACCTGCCTGGAGTCCAGGACATTTCTCCAGTGGCCGGGACTGAATCCCCAGACGTCATTTCCTCCCACTCCATGGAGGACCTCCACCTCGCTCCAGATGTATACCCACAGTCTGGCTTCCAGGCTGCAGGATGAGGAATGGGATGTGGTTATTACCTTCATCCTACTGACTGTTTGGAGGAATTCGATCCTAAGACATAAATGTATGCCCTTTCCCAGTGCCGGCAATTGAGCCTCCCCTGCCCCTTTGGCAGCAAAAATTCTGGCTGAGGTAGGTCCTTTTAACTCATTGCTGATGAAATTACCTATTACCCACTGTGATTGTGCCAGCACCCACTGGCATTTTGGGCCCATGCCAACAGTATGAACCCATTTTCCTTTAAGTGGCTGAAGTCAGAAAGGCAGGAGTCAAGCTCCGGGGTACTTGGATGGGGTGACTGGAGAGCACCAGCTTCAGGTTCAGGTTGAGGCCAAAGATGGCAAGGAAGACACTGGTGGGAATATGGCCTCTCCCTGCGCTCCCAGATACTGCAGAGAATAACCCAGGGTCCGCAGAAAGGGAGACTGTCAGCCACCTCAGGAGAGTTTCAGGAGCTTTTGGCAAGTCATTGGTGAAACTCAGCTGAATTGGTGGGAGATGGGATGATGGCCCCAACTCCTCATCTTTTGATAGGAGGATGCCGGGCTGTTTAGCCATGTCCAACTACACTGCCCCAGATCAACCATTCCCAGAGGAGACAAAGACCTTTTCACTCGCACAGAAATCTGGGATGGCTCTCTCATGACAGTCATCTCATTCAACACTCATTCATTCTACAAATATTTATTTGAATACCTACTATGTGCCAGGTACTGTGGGGGTGGGTACCCAGGGTGTAAAACTAAATCAGAATGCTTTCTGACCTTAAGGAGCTACCAGTATAGTTAGTGCAGGGTCTTAGGGCTCCCAAGTTTTTAGGCTGTCCAGTTGGGTCATTTTGAGTGGTAGTGGGGTTCACTTTATCGTAGCATTGACTCACACTGAATCCCAACCTTAGCGTTTTGGGACAGTATGCCTGGTAGGCAGCACCCAGAAGAGCTCTGCCTCCAGTCCAAGGGCTGCTGCCTGTGGTTCCCTCCCATGTGCAAAGAGGAGTTTTGGCTTGGTGTTGGGGAACATGCAGAGAAGTCCAGCCTGTGTGCCCCTGGCACCTGCTCAGTGCTTTGCTTCCAAACCTCTTTAGCCATAATCTTTGCAGACATGGGAAAAAAATATCTGTACACTGAGTGTGGTGGCTCATGCCTGTAATCCCAACACTTTGGGATAACAAGCCGGGTGGATCACCTGAGGTCAGGAGCTCGAGACCAGCCTGACCAACATTGTGAAACCCTGTCTCCACTAAAAATACAAAAATTAGCCAGGCGTGGTGGTGTCCGCCTGTAATCCCAGCTACTAAAGAGGCTGAGGCAGGAGAATGGCTTTGAACCTGGGAGGCAGAGGTTGCAGTGAGCCAAGATCACGCCACGGCACTCCAGCCTGGATAACAGAGCCAGACTCTGCCTCAAAAAAAAAAAAAAAAAAAAAAATTAGCTGGCTGTGGTGGTGGGCACCTATAATCCCAGCTACTCAGGAGGCTGAGGCAGGAGAATCGCTTGAACCCAGGAGGCAGAGGTTGCAGTGAGCTGAGATGATGCCATTGCACTTCAGCCTGGGTGACAGAGCAAGACTCCATGTAAAAGAAAAACAAAAAAAAGAATTTGTGATCAATCTTTAGAAGTGACTAATTAGGATCACTGTACATGATTGTGTAGCTTGTATACCCAACCAATGAGGCAAGTGGGGCTGGACAGGGCTGAAATTACCAAGCCATGTGCCCATTACACAGAGGGTGTCATGACAGGGGCATGGGCAGTAGGGAGAATCTTTTTCTAATTTGGACAAAGATGCCTCATAGGCTACTGGAGACCTGGAAGTACCATAAGGATATTAGGAAACAGGAGAAACAAAATAATTTCTCACCCTTGGGTAACTAACTCTGAAGAGCCAGAAGAATTAGACCTGATTAGGGTCCTGATGCTTCCATCCTATGAAACAATCCCTCCCACCCCACTACATGGCCAGAGGCTGTTGCAAGGGACTCCATAGCCTAAACTGTGAGGCAGTCAGGCTGCACTCTGAGAGCACGAAGGCACGGTTCAGAGGGAGAGGCCCCACTTCCCAACCCCAGTCTGAGGGGTGGCCTAAAATCCTAATTCTCAGGCCATCTGATACGCTAGGCACACAGCACACTGTGTTTCTTCACATGCCCGCCCCCACCAACCTTTCAGCTCTGAGGTCACAGCCCTGGTGGCCAGGTGAGCCAGAGGCCCTGTGGTCAAGAGAAAGAGGTAGACAACTTCCAACTCCTGTGAGAAACAGGAGGCTTCAAAGAGGAGCAAAGGGGATCCCCTGCATGTTGGGGAGGTGGCAGGAACAGGGTTCTTAGCTCCATCACCCACCAGGGCCCAGTACATGGGAGCAGGGGTCCAGGAAGAGCACACGAAGGGCCACCACCAACCAACAATTCAAGGACACAAGGACACCCACAAAGAGGCACCGCAAAGACTTATTGGGATAGTAGGATGAATAGATTTAATCACTCTTGCTTGAAAAACAAGACATAAATTAGTATATATATATAATTTATATATTTTATGTAGTATATATACTATATACAGACATTAGAAAATGTTTCCTTTCTGTGAGGCTGAGGGAGAGGTGAAGGATGGCGGTGAAATGACACAGGCAGGGGCTGAGTGGCGAAGGTGGGAGAAGAAGAAGACCACGTCAGCGCTCCGGTTTGCAGTGGCTGAGGGGAAAGGATTCCCCACTGGTGGCATCTCTGGCCCATTCAACAACTTGGTCCTGGGGGGAGGAGAAGCAAGGAAGTGAGGGGCTGGCTTCTGCAGAAGGAGCTCCCCTCCTCCTTGCGGGGAGAACTCACCACTGAGGGAGACTTTATTGCACTAGGGGCTACCAAGGATGGGCAGAGGTTAAGCACAGTGTACATCTTTATAAAACTCACATCAGAATGAGACATTTCACATGGGCCTCTCACAGTGATGAAAGAGAGGCAGACGCAGGGCACGAGGGTATGGCAAATGGGGAGATATGGAGAAGTGGACGAGAAGCAATCTATACAGAAGAAACATTGGCTTTCTTTGTTCCCTACAGTGGGACAGTTGGTAGGGACTCCGTGTCTTCACTCCCAGGAAGGTTGTGGGGGTGGGGTGGGGTGGGGGAAGGGTTCGCAGCAGCGGTGGCGGTGGTGGTGGTGGTGGTGGCGGCAGCGGCGGCAGCGGCAGCGGTGGTGGCAATAGGAGGTGTGTGTCAAGGTGGATGTTAAACAGTGTGAATTCCCTTCCAGATGGCTCCAGAGAGGGAGAAAGAGGTGCAGGACTGCACCGGGTAAGGCGCTCAGCTTCTTTTCTTAGAGAGACAAATCCACAGGGTCAATACACAGCCAAAAGCATATACTCAGGATTAACATATCACGCTAGCTTCCAGAAGTTTAAGATATAGTCATCAACCCCCCACCCCTACCCCCTTCCCCCCTCCCCCCACCCCCCTCCCCGATCCACAGCTAAGTCAAACTCCTAAGGACAGTCTGTCTGGTAGAAAGATGTTAAGAGAGGAGCCTCACGCCTGCAGCAACAGCCCCTGCGCTGGGCCGGGCGGGCTCCTAGGCCTGCACTGGGTCTCCCCAGGCAGACGTTTTTTACCAGATACCTTACCCAAAACGAGTGGGGTGATCCCAGATGCTTGCTCCCTAGTGGACTGAGCTGCCCTGCCCATCAGTGAGGGGCAGGGCACTTTGGGGATGGCTGGTGTGGAGCTACTGGACCTGGAGGTGAGGGCTCCCCAGGCTGCCAGCCTGTTGGGTGGCTGCAAACAGCCTAGTGTGGCTGTTTTCTGCAGGTATCTCACCCAGGCACAGGCCCTCAGGGTGGCACCTGCCAGTTGAGTGTGAGCCCAGAGTGGTTGGGCACATCTGGACTGAGTGCCCTCTCCCCTCAGCTTGGCGCTGTGGCATGCTGTTACTGCCACTGTTCCCAGCAGGGGAGCTGATGCCACGGGGAGCTCAAGGCCTGAGGGTCTGCTTGCAGGCCTTGGCTCCCCCAGCGCCCAACATGGATTGAGCAGGAAGTGAGCCTGATGTCACCTCTCAGCCCCAGAGAAGAGAGAAAATACAGCTCTGCTGTGAGCAGAGTGACGAGGGGCCTTTGCCCTCACAGTGAGGCCCAGACGCCAGGGAAGGGGTGAGGACACCCGGGGCGGCAGCTAAGCTTGCAGCCCTTAAGAGAGAGCCTCAATCAAGGGAGTTTCCACTCCCCGGAGACTGATGGGCTCTTGGACCCTGACTAGCCCAGCAGACACACACACTCACCATAAGATGCAAGGACCACAAAGCTCAAACCTGGGGCCATGGTTAGGGAAGGGGGACAGGTGTGGGCAGATGCCCTACTTAATAAGGGTTTTTAAGGAGTGGGTGAATGTGCTCATAACAGTCGCTGAGGTTGGGGAGCCTGGTGGATGCTCCATGGCTGCCCCTGCAGCTGCTGCCGCCTGCTGCTGCTGCTGCTGCTGCTGCTGCTGCTGCTGCTGCTGTTGCTGCTGCTGCTGCTGCTGCTGGTTAAGATTCCGGGCTGTGGACTCCTCAGCTGCACGCAACAGGAAGGTGTAGTTCCTCACCACCTCTTCTACCTTGGCCAGCAGCTCTTGGCGCTGGGCCTCGGAGCGCACGATGAATACCAGCCGCACGAAGGTCTCAATGAGGCTGCTCAGCACCTGGAAGCTGCCCGTGATGGCTGCCAGCATGTGAGTCGGGCTCTTGTCCACATTGGCCACACGGCGGCAGGAGGCCCGGAGCTCCTTGAACTTGAGAGCTAGCTCGAGCTTATACTCGGAGATCTGAGAGACATAGGGCTTGGGGGCACGGGCCTCAGGGCTGGCCACACACTGCCGCAGGACTGTCAGCAGCTCGTTGGTGTCCAGCCGGGCAGCCAGGAAGCCATCAGGGAGGCCATAGGCATGGGCTCTCAGGGCATTGATCTTGGCCAGGCTCCCCTCGAAGGTGGACACGCGGAGGTCAATCTCCTGAGTGCGGGAGGCCTCAGGGCTGCTGCTGCTGCAGGTGGCAGCATCCAGCACCTGCAGGGTCCTGCTCACCACAGGTACCACCTGCTCGTCCAGCTTCATGCCGGGCAGGATCTTCATGGGGATAGAGTAGGAGAGCTCATCCTTGCCGTCACTGGCATCATCTGCCATGTCACACTTGCGGTAATAGAAGCAGTAGCGAATGGAGCAGCACTTGCTGCTCTCACTGTCCTCATCTAGATCGGCAGGCTGCCGGTACACCTCCTCGGGCAGTGAGAACACAGCCATCTGTCTGGGACCTTTGGTCTCTGGGGCAACCTGGACATAGGAGGGGTTTCCCAGGGTCGGTGACTCCAGAGACCTGCTTTTGGGACCCAAGGCTAGGGGGAGGCTTGCCTCTACCTCCTTGGCCTCCCTGGGCAGCATGCCCAGGGGCAGATGTGGGTAGACATCCGAGGTCAGCGAGGCCCTGTCACCCTGGTCCAGCTCACTGATACTGTAGCGGCGCATCAGTTTCCTGTAATTCGGAGCTCCCAGACATTCGCCCCCTGAGGCACACGTGGTGAGGCACGAAACACCACTCTCTGGGTCTGATCGGCACTCTCGGGATTCCAGGCTGGTAGAACGAATGCGCCGGACATTGATGGGGCTGCTAAGGCTCATGCCTGGGCTAGCCTCTGGCTGCCTCTGGGTAGGGAGGACCCTGTCCCTTTCCCTCCCCCGGAGGCTGGGCACTGGTGTCTGGGCGGCTTGTGGCCGGCCCCCCCGGCAGATGCGCTTGCAGTCGCAGCTGCGCCTCTGCTCGCGGGACATGCCAGGCCCTTGCTGCACAGGGCTGCTGCGGAGCTGGCAGCTACAGCGGCCGGGTGCTGGAGGTTGCAGGTACTCGGTGCCTGGCAACTCCCCCTGGCTTGGTGGTTTTAGAAGCTCCTCAAGGAACTCCAGCTCATACTGCTTTACCTTCTGCAGCTGGGCCTGCCGTTCATCTGTCTCCTTCTTCTGGCGGGTTGGGAAGGTGGCAGAGAATAAATTGCGTAGCCGGAAAGGACCTCGGGATGACTTGGGCTTTGCAGGGCCTTCAGAGGTTGAGTGGGCTCCATTGAGAGTTGTTTCAAGCTTCCTAGAGGGCATAGTGCTCACCTGCCGGCTGGCAGCCTGAGACCTCAGTGGGCTCTGGCCTCGAGGTTGGCAGCTGGGGCTCTGGCCTCGAGACTGGCTGATAGGGCTGTGGCCACGGGGCTGGCAGCTGGGGCTGTGGCTTCTCGAATGGCAGCTGGGGCTCTGCAGAGCCATGGGGTAGCTAGCTCGAGGAACCAGGCCGGTCTCTTCGAGCTTGCTGCTTTTGGGTGTGCTTTCCAGCTGCGCCTTCTCCCCTTGGCTGGAGATGGTGCCCTGCTTCGGTAGGATGGGCTTACCACCCTCTGGCCCACCTTTGCCTGCCACCTCCCCTGTAGCTTGCTTGCCCACTGACTCTCGGCTTGCTCGCAAAAGATAGCTTTTGGGAGGGAAATTTTGAACAGACAGCCTGTTCTCCTGCGGGGTGAGGTGCAGGCTGTCAGCCCGGCTGCCTGTGGGTGCTCTGGGGCTGGAAGAGACCTCTGTGCCCAGCTGATGCTGAGAATTCCGTGAGGTCTCTGGAGCACTGGGGCTCATTTTGAACTTCAAATTCTTATTGGCACTGCTGCTCATTATGCTAACTTCTGGCCTTGCCATGCTAACCTCTGGCCTCCCCATGCTGTCCTCCAGGCTTCTCTCGCCCCTGCTGGGGGCGTTTCCCAAAGCCCCACCAGGAGTGACAAGACTCTTACTGTGAACCACCTGCTGCAGGGCGGCCGAGATGATGGCTGGGGTCACACTGCCCTTTGGGTCCAGGATAAGCTTGGGGCTCAACCTGACCTCCTTGGGCAGGTTCTCTCTCAGCTCAGAGACCTGCTCTTCACTGAGGGATGATGTAGCCGCTCTCAGTGACATCTCTAGGCCTGACCTAGTGTGACCAGGCCCTTTGTCCTTAGGAACTGGGGACAGCAGGCTCAGATTCTTCTGTTCACTAAGTTGTGGGGACAGTGCTGGGTGCACTGCCAAGGAGTATGTTCGTTCTCCCTGTGCCTGGCCCTCTGACTGGGGCAGCTTCCTCCGGGCGCCGGGGGGGCCAGAACTCTGGCCTGTGGCAACCGGCTGGAGAGATTGGTTGGGATCTGGGCGCCCGAGAGAGTAAGGGGCCGTGAGAACGGCCTGGGCTGCACAGCTCTGGATCCGGAAGGGCAGGTCCTTGCGGGCAAGGAGGCTGTCCTTGTTGAGGTGCTGGGCCAGGAAGTAGGTGGTGTTCTGGTGCTGCTTCATGGCTGACATCATCTCTGACATGTCTGTGAGCTCTGAAGAGTTGGTTTCATGACCCGAGTCCAGCGATGATTCAGGAGTGATTGTGGCCAGCACAATCAGACCTGGAGGAACAGGGATAGGGCTTGTTACGCTTACTGAAATCAAGCTCTTTTCCAGCTCTACACGGTTGTCCCTCGGTATCCATGGGCGATTGGCTCTAGGACTCCCGAAGATTCCAAAACTTGCAGATGCTCAAGTCCCTGATATGAAATGGCACAGTATTTGCATGTAACCTATGTACATCTTCCCATGTACTTTAAATCCTCTCTGGATTACTTATAATACCTAATACAATGTAAATGCTATGTAAATAGTTGTTATACTGTGGTGTTTAGGGAATAGTGACAAGAAAAATCTGTAGATGTTCAGTATAGACATATTTCTTTTTTTCGAATACTTTTGATCTGTGGTTGGTTGAATCAGCAGATGCAGAACCCTCAGATACGGAGGGCTGACTCTTTAGAGAGTGCATGGAGGCCAAGGTTAGCCAGCAGTATTTCCAGCTAGAGAAAACCAGTCAAGCCTGGTGAGAATGCAGGGCTGAAGGTGGGAGGAGTGGAGGGGAGGGGACAAAGAGGGGAAAGTTGTACGAAGGGGCTGAAAGACTGGAATCCAAAACAGAAACAAAAGAGGTGGAGAGGGGATATGGGCAGTTTGATGGCAAATTACCATGCAAATCACATGCAAAACACCATGCTAATCACAACTATTTATAGATTCAACAGCTAGGAAATTTTTGTTAATTATCCTAAAGAGGGGCTGGCAAAGAGAGGCCCCTCTCTATCCCTCCTCATCTGGCCAGGCCCGCCTACAGTCATTGCAGCTGAGGCCATTTAGCTGAGGTCCGCTCTCCAGCAGCCACATGGGACTCAAGCCTGGGAGCAGCTAGCACTCTCTCCAGACTCCAGCAAAGAGAAATGCCAGCTCTGGGGGCCAAATACACGGGGGCTGCCCAATGTCAAGGGTGTCCTCGCACACAGAAAAGGCAGGCTCCCTCTGACCTCAATCCCTTCACCCTCCCCGTCTACACTTTTCCCTGCCTCACATGCTTTCTCATGGTCCCTATTTCTCCCTATTTTTTTTCTGTTGCTGTGTCATTTACCTCTTCTCTCTTTTTTTTTCTTTGAGATGGAGTCTCACCCTGTCACCCAGGCTGGAGTGCAGTGGTACAATCTTGGCTCACCGCAACCTCCGCCTTCCAGGTTCAAGTGATTCTCTTGCCTCAGCCTCCTGAGTAGCTAAGACTACAGCACACCCAGCTGATTTTTCTCTTTTTAGTAGAGACGGGGTTTCACCATGTTGGCCAGGCTAATCTTGAACTCCTGGCCTCAAGTGATCCACCCACCTCAGCCTCCCAAATTGCTGGGATTATAGGTGTGAGCCACTGCGCCCAGCCCTCTTCTCTTTTTTTTAAGGTGTATGTGTATGGAGGGACATTTGTGTGACTATGGGTATGTGCCTGAGTTTGTATACAAGATGGAGATATGTGTGTCTATAACAGGGAACAGCATGCATGTTGTACGATTCTCCTACTAACTAATATGTTGCAACAACAGCTACCACTTACTGAGGGCTTACTGTGTGCTAGGCAGTGCTTACATGCTTTGCAGGAATGATCTCATTCCATCCTTATGACAACCCCATGTGATAGAAGTACTGTTATAAAACTCATTTAAGATGAGGCTCAGAGAGAGTAAGTGCCTTGCTAAAGGTTACACTGACAATGATTGAAGAAACCAGGACTTAGGTGGATCTGATTCAGAGCCCATGTTCTTAGACAGGATAAAGACCTCAGCAATGAACAGTGATGGTTCTTGGCTCCCCGGGTCCCAGCTCACTAGGTAGTGAGTTGGTAGTTTTGCTTTGCATTTTTTTTTTTTTTAAGACGGGGTTTCACCGTGTTGGTCAGGCTGGTCTTGAACTCCTGACCTCAGGTGAACCGCCCGCCTTGGCCTCCAAAGTGCTTGGATTACAGGCGTGAGCCACCACGCCTGGCCTTGCTTTGCTTTCAATCATGTGCATGCTGGATGTTCTTTGCCTGTCTTCTACATCTCTCACAGTTTTTCTCTGATCCCCCAACCTGGCCTGCATCCATAGCTGTCATGACCCCAATCCTTGCAATCTATCTGTAAGGCGTTTCCAAAAAGAAGCAATGGCGAGAGCCAGAACTCTAGCTAGAGCTGAGCAGCTGCTCCCTGCTGTAACATGGATGCTCCTCTGACCCTATCTAAACAACCTTTGATCCATCCACTTCCCTGACATATCTCAGTGACTCTAACATCTACTTGGGAAGACAAAAATGTTACCTACTGGCCCTTCCTGGACAGGAGAAGAAGGGAGAGGAAAGAAAGACGAGAAATGGGTCATTACCTGCAGTCTGTGGGGGTGGTGGGTGTGGTCCATCCTCGGATGCAGCCAGGGCTTCCAGAGCCTGCAGAGTGGACACCAGGGCATCATCTAGCTCCTGGGCATGATCTCGAACTGTCCGGGTCTGCACACTGTCAATCAATGTCACTGGAATCTCATCGTAAAGAAGCCCACGCAGGTGGCGTCCTTGCTCCTGGCTCTGGACAGCCCGGCGCTTGGGGTCATCCTCGTCAGAGCTGTTGTCTCGGAAACCCGGGGGTGGGGCAGCAATGGCAGGCAACAGAGAAGTTGTCTCATCTTCCTCCTCCTCCTCCTCCTCACTCCCAGGTGGTGGGAGGGACATCAAATCTACTATATTGTCACGAGAGGAGCCAGGCTTCCCACTTTTGCGAGGGCCCAGCTGCTCCTGGAGTTTGGCTTTGCAAGAGTCACAGTAGAAATTCAGGGCTTCAGCCCCAAGGGAATTGTCCAAGGTGTAGGACCGGGCCCTGCTGGCACAAGGCTCGTGGTCTAGGCTAGCTGCATCAAAGTCATCGGGGACTACCTCATAACCTTGGCCAGAGCTTTTGGATGTGGGGTCAGACTTGGTTCGGGGCCTGGTCTCCTCAAAGAATATTAGGTTCTCGTTGACATCTGTCCGGCTTTCCTGCTCCTTCCTTTGTTCCTGCATATGGAGGTAGCAGAAGCTGACAAGCTCAGAGTCGGCAGGTGGGGGTGTGCAGCGGCTCGATTTCCTGGGGCTGGTGCCCATGCTGCCCACATAACTACTCTCCTTTTTCCCCAGGTGGCCCCCAGTGACAGGGCGGTGGGCGCTGTGCATGTAATCTAAACCCAGAAAGAGAATCAACAGATGAGCCCTGGTGCTGAGGATTGTGACTGAGCTCTCTTGGCGTCTCTGGCTCATGTGTCTGCAGCACAACCAAGTGGCAGGTCCCAGGACAAAGCATTATCTGGCTGCCAGAGATTAGGGGTAGGGAAGTTGATGAGCTATGCTACTGCTGACCCTGAAAGTAGAGTGGGTAGAGTTTAATAACCTGAGCTGCTAATGGCTCCATCACCTCTGAAATGGGAAAAGGCATGGGGTATGGTAAGGGAGGGAGTGAACACCTTAGTTTAGGGCCTGGTATCTGGGCACAGATGGACTCTTACATGGATACCCCTGGTCTGCAAGTCAGCTGTAAACGTACGTCCCCATTGGAACTGTTCCTGCTCCTGCCCCCACTCCTTTTCAGTTTTTCCAACCACCAGTGCTCTGTTGTTCTTGTTATCTTGAATCTCTTCTAGCAGAAGGAAATAGATCTGACAAGTTACTAATGCTTTAGTCGGAACCTGTTAAACAGACTACATACAATGCCCAAGAGTTTGCATTTCAAAGAGGCCTGTTGATGGAGGGATCCTAAAAGAATAATGCTGTATAGCAGAATTCCAGGATCTGAATGTGTAAAGTATATGGGAGATAGGTGGGGATGTGCATACTTGACAGGAGGGCAGGGGAAGCATTCTTATAATTCTTCAAATTTTATTCCTTTCTGTATTCATGCAGGGCCAGCCCTACCTGCCACACATATACATGTGGCAAATGCTCTCAGCAACCACTCTTAATGATGGTAGGTGTGTGCATCTGAGAATTATCTATAGCAAATGCTTTGTCTGTGAATAGCTTCTCTCACTGTTTTTGGAGTTCTTCCCCATGTTATCTATGAGAATATACTCAGACTGCAGACGGAAAGATGACAAGCACTAAGTTAGGCCCAGGTCCTAATATACATGATCCTACTTAATCTTCATAACAGCTCAATGAGGTAGTTATTATTATCCCCATTTTACAGAGAAAGAAACTGACTCGCCTAAGGTTACACAGACCGAGTAGTAGACTGGATTTGAGCCTAGGTCTGAAGGACTTCAAAATCTGTGTTTTTAGCCATTACCCTTATACCTCATCAGGGTGGTCAAGATGCTGGAAAACAAGACTTCAAAATGCCTCTCAAACTCCAGTTTGACAGAGTCAATGTGCCAGTGTTGTCTTTCACTAGTGCTCACACCTATGACAAAAGCACAGCACTGGCACCTAGCAACAAAATCCCCAAATACAGGAAGAAAAAACTGACAGAATTGAAGGGAAAAATAAACAATTCAACAACAGTAGTAGGAGACTTCAATATTCCACTCTCTTTGCTTGCTTTTTTTTTTAATCCCTGAGATGGAGTCTCGCCCTGTTGCCCTGGTTAGAGTGCAGTGGTGTGATGATCTCAGCTTACTGCAACCTCTGCTTCCTGGGTTCAGGTGATTCTCCTGCCTCAGCCTCCTGAGTATCTGGGATTACAGGCACCTGCCACCACACCCGGCTAATTTTTTTGTGTTTTTGTTAGAGACGGGGTTTCACCATGTTGGCCAGGTTGGTCTCAAACTCCTGACCTTAAATGATCCACCAGCCCTGGCCTCCCAAAGTGCAGGGATTATAGGCGTGAGCCACTGCACCTGGCCAATACTCCACTTTCAATAATGAATAAGACAATTAAGCAGAATATCAACAAGGAAACAGAGGACCTGAACAATACTATAAATCAAACTAGACCTAACCAAAATCTATAGAACCGTTTACCTAACAGTAGCAGAACAGGCATTCTTCTTAAGTGCATATGGAACATTATTGTGAATAAACCACATGTTAGGGTATAAATAAGCCTTAGTAGACTTAAAAGGAATAAAATCATACAAAATATATTTTCTGACCACAACATAATTAAATTAGTATTCAATAACAGAAAGGAGTCTGCGAAATTCACAAGTAGAAATTAAACAAACTCTCCTTTAAAAAAATTTTTGGCCGGGCGCGGTGGCTCAAGCCTGTAATCCCAGCACTTTGGGAGGCCGAGGCGGGTGGATCACGAGGTCAAGAGATCGAGACCATCCTGGTCAACATGGTGAAACCCCGTCTCTACTAAAACTACAAAAAATTAGCTCGGCATGGTGGTGCGTGCCTGTAATCCCAGCTGCTCAGGAGGTTGAGGCAGGAGAATTGCCTGAACCCAGGAGGCGGAGGTTGCGGTGAGCCAAGATCGCACCATTGCACTCCAGCCTGGGTTACAAGAGTGAAACTCCGTCTCATTAAAAAAAAAAAAAAAATTTTTTTTTGATACAGGGTCTCGCTCTGTCACCCAGGCTGGAGGGTAGTGGTGCGATCTTGGCTCACTGCAACCTCCACCTCCTGAGCTCAAGTGATCCTCCCGCCTCAGCCTCCCAAGTAGCTGAGATTACAGGCACCTGCCACCATGCCCAGCTAAGTTTTGTATTTTTGGTAAACATGGGGTTTCACCATGTTGGCCAGGCTGGTCTCAAACTCCTGGCCTCAAGTGATCCGCCCGCCTCGGTCTCCCAAATTGCTGGGATTACAGGCATGAGCCATTGTGCCCGGCTGCCAAAACGCTCTTAAATAACCAAGGTGTCAAGGAAGGACTCACAGGAGAAATTAGAAAATACTTTGAGATGAATAAAAATGAAAATACAACATATCACAATTTATGGGATCTAGCTAAAGTATATATGTATGTATGTATGTATTTATTTGAGACAGAGTTTCACTCTTGTTGCCTAGGCTGGAGTGCAATGGCGCGATCTCAGCTCACTACAACCTCTGCCACCTGGGTTCAAGCGATTCTCCTGCCTCAGCCTCCCAAGTAGCAGGCATTACAGGTGTGCACCATTATGCCCGGCTAATTTTGTATTTTTAGTAGAGACAGGGTTTCACTATGTTGGTCAGGTTGGTCTCAAACTCCTGACATCAAGTGATCCACCCACTTTGGCTCCGAAAGTGCTGGGATCACAGGCGTGAGGCCACCATGCCAGGCCTACAATAGTTCTTAAAGGGGAAATCTACAGCTGAAAGTGCCTATGTTAAAAAAGAAGAAAGATTTCATATGAATTAACATAAACTTCCACTTCTACCTTAAGAAACCAGAAAAAGAAGAGCAAACTAAATAGTTAGCAAGAATGAATAAGACCTACTATTTGATAACACAATAGGGTGACTATAGTCAATAATAACTTAATTGTACATTTAAAAATAACTAAAAGGGCCAGAGTAATCAGACAAGAGAAAGAAATAAAGGGCATCCAAATCAGTAAAGAGGAAGTCGAATTGTCACTGTTCACCGATGATAAGATCATATACCTAGAAAACTGTGAAAACTCACCCAAAAATCTCCTAGATGCGATAGGTGAATTCAATAAAGTTCCAGGATACAAAATTAACGTACACGAATCAGTAGCATTGCTATACACCAACACAGTGACCATGCTGAGAATCAAATCAAGAACTCAACCCCTCTTATAATAGCTGTAAAAAAATAAAATACTTAGGAATATACTTAGCCAAGGAGGTAAAAGACCTCTACAAGGAAAACTACAAAACACTACTGAAAGAAATCATAGATGACACAAACAAATGAAAACACAGCCCATGGTCATGGATGGGTACAATCAATATTGTGGAAATGACCATACTGCCAAAAGCAATCTACAAATTCAATGCAATTCCCATCAAAACACCATCACCATTCTTCAGAGAACTACAAAAGACCATCCTAAAATTTATATGGAATGAAAAAAGAGCCAGCATAGCCAAAGTAATCCTAGGCAAAAAGAACAAATCTGGAGGCATCACACTACCAGACTTCAAACTATACTACAAGGCATGGTACTAGCATAAAAATAGGTACATAGAGCAATAGAACAGAATAGAGAACCCAGAAGTAAAGCCAAATACAGCCAACTGATCTTGGACAAAGCAAACAAAAACAAAAAGTGGGGAAAGAACACCCTATTCAACAAATGGTGCTGGAATAATTGGCAAGCCACATGTAGAAGAATGAAACTGGATCCTCATCTCTCACCTTATATATAAATCAACTCAAGATGGATGAAAGACTTACATCTGAGACCCAAAACCATAAAAATTCCAGAAGATAATATTGGAAAAAGTCTTCAGGACACTGGCTTAAGCAAAGACTTCATGACTGAGAACCCAAAAGCAAATGCAACAAAAACAAAAATAAATAAATGAGACTTAATTAAACTAAAAAGCTTCTGCACAGCAAAATAAATAATCAGCAGAGTAAACAGACAACCCACAGAGTGGGAGAAAATCTTTGCAAACTATGCATCCGACAAAGGACTAATATCCAGAATCTACAAGGAGCTCAAACAAATCAGCAAGGAAAAAAACAAACAATCCCATCAAAAAGCTGGCTAAGAATATGAATAGACAATCCTCAAAAGGAGCTATACAAATGGCCAATGAGCTTATGGAAAAATGCTCAACATCACTAATTATCAGGGAAATGCAAATCAAAATTACAATGCAATACCACCTTACTCCTTCAAGAATGGTCATAATTTAAAAATAAAAAAATAATAGATGTTGGTGTGGATGTGGTGAAAAGAGAACACTTTTACACTGCTAGTAGGAATGTAAACTAGTACAACCACTATGGAAAATAGTATGGAGATTCCTTAAAAAACTAAAAGTAGATCTACCATTTGATCCAGCAACCCCACTACTGGGTATCTAATCAGAGGAAAAGAAGTCATTATCTGAAAAAGACATTTGCACATGCACATTTATAGCAGCACAATTCACAATTGCAAAAATATGGAACCTGCCCAAATGCCAATCAATCAACAAGTAGATAAAGAAAATGTGGTACAGCTGCGCACAGTGGCTCATATCTGTAATTCCAGCACTTTTGGAGCTGAGATTTCACCACTTCACTCCAGCCTAGGTGACAGAGTGAGATTCCATCTCAAAAAATTTAATAAATAAATAT